AATCCTTAATTACCATCTTAAATTAAACTAAAACAACTCAAACGTAAAATGATGGTGGGTGATATGCATCTTTATTGCGTGAATACAGATTCAGAATTCATGCAAATAAATTCCTCTTTGTTTTTTCTTCTGTACGATTATTGCAATCAAACTGCTTCCACATACTTTTTTATTTTTACCTTTACTTTTTAAAATAATGTTCGGCTCATTTAGGAATAGACTTTTATTATGTCACTTTTGTACTTTTTGTCTTTGTCAATTCTTTAATACCACCCGTGATACATTTCCAGTTTGTTGTTACTTCCTCCCTCTTTATAACCTGCCATGGACTTTGAATTTGCACAATAGGCTGTTCAAACAATTTGATTGGTTGTCTTCTTTTGATTGGCACCTCTTTTGACCAACTGGGTTCGTCTATAGACTCTCCAGAGCACAAAATATGTGGCAAACCCCTCATGTTCCACCTGTCTCTGGTACATGTGATAGATTGACTAGAATCGGCCAATCAGCTCTGAGCTTCATTCTGACACCCCAGCTGTGTAGCCAATCAAGTTACCTTTTATTCAATATGCAGCTTTGGAAGAGAAAATGATAATGGTTATAGTGTATTTTAACTTCAACAACTAAATACTCGTTACAGTTAGAAAACTTGTGACGGCTGAAGTAAAAAAATTCAGATAGATTTACTCCAAAAGGGTTCAAGAGCAGCGTTTCATTTAATGTGGGTTAGTGGACCTGCAGGTTAACAGACTTCAGCATTTAGCACTTAGCAGTCACTGCAGTTTCTCAGAAAATTCAATATTTCTAGTTTTTTTATATCCTGATATGTGAAATCATTGAGTTAAAGGAAGGAGGACTTTTTTCATGGCTGTATATTAAAAGTAAATCATCCAGTTAACATGTAAAACTAATAAAACTTTCACTCAGATCTAAAAGTGCGTTTATGTCCGTCTTTGCTGCTTGATCATAAAATAATTTACCGCCCTGATGAAAGGCAGCATTTAGGGTCACTGGGGTTTTCAGGGGTCATAAAGACTGGGTTGTATATCTTTCACACACAAGGCAGATTTCCAACCCCCATGCCCCCACCCCCCAACCTCCGGCAAGTGCAGCTCCAGCTGTTTCACCGCGTTCTGATGCTTTCACTTCCTGCCAAAAGCCTGAGAATCCTACACCGCAGTGTTGCTTTCATTTCTTGCAACGAAGCTCTTTGCACTTCGTTTAAAAAGAAAAAAAAAGTTACATATCTGAGCTCCGGTTTGGTCTGTCCTCCATATTTTTCAGTTCGTCTGGCTTGCTAAACCCGCTGCCGGTTGAGCGTCCAGCTGGGCGAAAGTAAGGCAGAGCCGACCGCGTCGGAGGAGGGCAGCGGGTTTAAGGAGCGCCTGACATCAGAGGCGGTGCAGACCGCTGATGGACAACAAAAGCGCACGGTGCCACATCTGGCTTCTAGTTTAGCGTGCCGTTTCCCTGAGCGTAAGCCGGTGCTGTGATTATCTTCGTCCCACCGCCTTGTCATGGAACAATAAAGATTGTCGGCTAAGGATAGCTTTGGAGAAAAAGTCGGTCCCGATGAGCGAAGAAGAGTAGAAATACTAAATGGAACAGGTTTCGTAGCTACGAGCGAGAGAGGTGCTAGCCTTTCTAGTGTCAGTGTCCTCATCTTCACCCCGCTGCAGCTGGACCTCAGCTGTGAAGCGCAGCTCGAAGTTGGTTAGGAGAAAAGAGCGGGGTGCCCCTTCACGCCTTCATGAAGCACGTGCAACACATCTTAGTGCACGTCTTTGCACGAGAAGGAGAGACCGACATTTGGAATCAACGTTTTCAACAAAATGGGGGAAAAAAAATAAAACCCCGGCGATTAACGGGTCGCTTCAGTTCAAAACACAGAAATCAAAACTTTCGGGTGAAAATCGAGACGTCGTTCGCCAAGTCTGCTCCAAGATTTATCAGAGCTTAACGGTAGATCAAGAGCTCAGGGTTCGGTTTAGAAACGTCGCGCAAATTCTGGTTCCTGTTAAAAAGGAGCGATTCAAACTTTTTGAAGTGCGGTTCTGTGGAAAGTTTAGGAAGAATTAATATTTTAACTGCCGTAGCTTTTTGAACGACTTTGGAGAAATCKAGTTTAATTCTAAGCAGATCGATGAGCTAACAGCTCAGTCTGGTCTGACGTCCTGGATTCAGATCCTGAAAAGGAACGAAAAAGTTACAAATATTTGTCGGGATAAAAAAAAAATGAACCAATAACAATATGTTTAAGACAGTAAGATAAACTGCTTCGGTGTGAGTGATCATGTAAATTTGTTTGGAGTCTATACAATTTGCAGAGGTATATAAAGTAGTTGGGGGTGGGGTGGGGTGGGGTGAGTAAAAGTAAAAATACAACAGAAAATGACTTCGGTAAGAATTATTTCACTTGGAAGAAAAATACTTAAAGTCATAAAACTGCTCACAAGAATTAGGGAAAGAAAAGTACTTTGAGTACCAACCAAAGAAAGGAAGAGTTGATTTTACGTTACTAGTTTCACCAAACTGAGTTGAGTAAAATGAGCAATGAACACATTTTATTTGAAGGAAAATGTGTTAATAACTTTACATTCACCCAATTCAGTTGAGTGGAACCAGTTGACGTCATTTTTTAAAACTCAAATCAACTACCTTTTTTTAGTGTAAAAGTATCCTTTTTATGTTTTAAATGTAACAAAATGAAGGTCAAAGTTACAATTAAAAAAACTTGGTAAAATTTATTCAGTTGCGCCAAGTCACAACATACGTTGTCTTAGGGCACTTAAAGAAGAAACCAGCAGATTGTGTTGAATCACTTCATCACAGTCTCTCATCCTGAGCAAACAGTGGAGAGGAAAAACTCCCTGCTAATCAGGAAGAAACCTCCAGCAGAACCAGGCTCAGGACAGGAGACCATCTGCCTCGACCGGCTGGTTGGAGGACAGGAAAGAGACACAGACAAACACAGAAGAACTGGTCCAGGACTGGTCCAGGTGCACCTTCTTCTGGAAGAGACAAAGAAAAAAACATGATAGAAATAATTACAATAAACATGTAGAGAAGAGAGACTAAAGACAACAGCAGAGTGAGGAAATGTGCTCAGTTTGAGCTCCAGCAGTCTAAGTCTATAGCAGCAGAAATGAAGAATAATTCAGGAAACCTAAGTCTAAATATAGGATTTATCAAAAAGGAAAGTCTTCAGTCTAATCTTAAAAGCAGACAGAGTGTCAGCCTCAGAGACAGAAACTGGAAGTTGGTTCCACAAGAGAGGAGCTTGATAACTGAAAGCTCTGCCTCCCATTCTACTTTTAGAAACTCCAGGAACCACAAGTAAACCTGCAGTCTGAGAGTGAAGTGCTCTGTTAGGAAAGTATGGAACAATAAGATGTTTAATATGTGATGGAGCTTGGTTGTTAAGAGCTTTGTATGTTAGGAGTAATATTTTAAATTATATTCTAAATCTGACAGGGAGCCAGTGGAGAGAAGCTAAAACTGSAGAAAYATGATCTCTCCTTCCARCTCTCATTAAAACTCTAGCAGCAGCATTTTAGATTAACTGAAGACTTCTTAAAGAGTCCAGATCAAAAATTACAGATCTTTAAAAGAATACTTAAGTACCCAAGGAAATATACTTTACTATACACCTCTGATAATGTGGAGCTACAATTCCAGATGTTTTTATTTAGTTTGGCTGCTGCACTGTAATGGCTTAAACAAAATCAGTAACATGCAACAGCTCTTTTTAATTTAAATTTTTTTTTGCGAGGGTTGCAGCAAAGATGTTGATTTATTCAATGTTAACCAGTGCTAATGTTGAATTATGGTGTGTTATTTTTGTCATTGGAAGTCGCACTTCATCCTCAAAACCCAATAAGGCTACTCTGCTCGTGCAATGTTCTGATAGCTAACATCGGTTTGTGTTGCTAATAGCGTGGTCGCAGTATTAATGTCTTCTGTAGACAATCGCCATAAAGTCACGTCACTGTTTTAGACATTTGAAGTAAAACTCGTCATCGTTGCGCGGAAGACATGGCAACCTGGGCTCGAACCTGCAACCTCAGASWGCAGCACTGACCGCTGAGCTACAACTCTGCTGCMAATATAAAAATAAGTGAGCTGAAGTGAATCTGTTGTGATTATAAAACATCTTACTGAGGTGGTGAAGGCCATATTCCACCGGATGGATGTTGTATTGACGGAACACTGACTCATGTTTTAGTCAGAATGCTGACTCATGCTGGTGTACTCACGTTATATTACTGACCTTTTCCAGGAAAACTTTCTCCTTAGAGCGTTTCATAAAAGCCCTATTAGATACTAAGAAATGTTTTCAAATTTTCTAATTAATTTGTCTGATTGGACTCTTGCTACTCGTTTAATTGGATTAATTAAAGCTTTGTTGTTCTTTTAGGAGTTTTTTTTTTAAAAGATGGACAAAAACCCTGACAATCTCCATGGGTGTGGACTGTGAGGGTGGATGTGATGTATGTGCGTCTCAGCTTGGCTCTCCACCAGCTCAGACAGGTCTCGACTGGCTGCTCCTTCATCCAGCAGCTCTGGAGAGTCAAAACAACTGACATCATCCCAGAGGGTGAAGGAGGTCTTGCTGTGGGGGTTGGGGGAGACCAGGGGGGGCGGTGTTGGTTGAGGAGGATTCCTGAGTGAAATGACCCAGAAGAGGCGACAACAATACAAGCTGGACACGTTCAAGGATGAGAACGTCGACTCTTCCTTTATCTGACTCAATGAAGCATTTCTGAAGAACAGAATGTAGATATTCTGCTAAAAAGTACTGATTTCGTCATTTTAAATGTAAAATATTAACGCATGAAGCCACAGGCCTTAGCGGGCGATACAACAACAAACATCTAGTTCTCTCTGGATTCATTTAGCTCACCGGGGTTCTGATTCTAAGAACAACAGTGCCTTCGTGTGGCCATGTTCAGTCACTGCATCCTCCTGATTTAACTTGATAGTAAGACAGATTCATAAAAGAAATTAACACAATTCATCTTTATTGAAACGTTTGACTTTTACAACAACACAACAATCAAAGTGGTCCATACTGAGAGCAACAAACGTCCCATTTTCTGTTTTTTTATCCTCTTCAGGACATTTTATAGCAGCCGGGATTTGAAGTGAATGTGGTGAAAATGGTAAAAAAATAAAAAATAAAATAAGCTCCGTTTGGTCCCGGTTTTGACGTCAAAGCTCACTGTGTGGTTTTTCTGGCTCCTCTGCTGACTCTAAAGTAAAGAAAATAAAACAATGAGACAAAAATAAACTTCAGAACGCAAAAAACAGGAGCAAGTTTTGAAGGTTTCAGAGATCTCAAATAATTTCTCTAACTTTAAAAGTTACATAACTGTCCTGACTTAACGTTTTGATATAAACGGTTAAAAGTAGGGCTGTGTATTGGCAAGAATTTGGCGATACGATACATATCATGACAGAGGGGTCATGATATGATATATCCCAATATATTGCGATACTATAAACAAGGCGATATATTGCGATTTTTTTGTCCAAAAATTCTATTAAATAAAAACCTCTTACAGGGGAAAAAAATGAAAAACCAAAATTAATTGTCTCAGAAAATTCTAATATTACAGAGACATACTTTTGATACATTTAGCTGTGTTCTGCTTTGTATGCATTTTATTGTATTTGTTTCATATTTCTTATTTCATCCATGTTTTCAATTATTAGACTAAATTTGACAAATAGTTTGAAAATATATTTTTTGCAGATTTTAGTTTTTAATATTAATTTACAATATGGTCACCCAACACTTAACAATAGCCTCTATCTCAAGATGTAGAGGAGCCAAATGGCTGGCTCACTGCTGCCAACTAGTGGTCAGAGGCTGAACTACAACATAAAAATGAGCGGCTGGCAGGAAAGTTGACATTTTAAACCTTAATAAAAAAAATCGATACAGGGCTTTAGAATATCGATACAGTATCGGGAAATGAAATATCGCGATATTTCAGTGCATCGATATTTTCTTACACCCCTAGTTAAAAGCTCACAAAGTAAAAACATACAGAGGAATCTACGAACAGGAAAACAGCCGACTCAGCAGTCACGCCGTCAGGTGAGCTCCACTGCGGTCCTCACCTCCTCGCTGCGTTTGGACACACTCGCCGTCTCGTTCCTCGTAGCCGGCGGAGCAGAAGCACACGTAGCTGCCCTTGTTGTTCACGCACTCCTGGTGCTCCTTGGTGCACGCGGGCTCGGACCCCGAACATTCGTCGATGTCTAGAAGACAAGAAGAATTGATTTAGAACTATTTTTGTGTTTAATTGGCAGCGGCGGCCATCTTGAATTAGCTTGTACTTTGAACACGTTTTCTTTCTGCTGATTTATTTAAATATGTCCAACGATTTATGTTATTTAGCTAACAGACAGAGTTCATGTAAAAGTTGTAATAACAATTGTAGCTGCTAAGCTACTGCCGCGTCAAATTTTAGCTCAGTTTCTTAGAGATTGTCTTGAGTCATAGCAACAAAACRTTTTATAGCAAAACAGTTAATGCCAGTTCCATTTGAAGAGTTGAAAGAAGCACAAAACAAGCAGAAACTAGCAGAAGAATAGAAAAGAGCAGAATTATAGCTGAAAAAGCAGAAAAAAGGCTAAAATTAGCATAAAAACAAGCTAAAAGTAGCAGACAAGTTAAAATTAGGACCCAGAAGGGGTTTAAAAAATGTAAAATGAGCAGAAATGAAAGAATAAAAGTAAAAAAAAAGTGACTTTCTTGTAAAATAGCTTAAACAACTAAAATGGGCAGTACAACAGCTAAAATATAGCTGGAAACTCTTTAATTAGCATAAGGAGCACAAGTTTACTGAACTTAGCAGAGATACGTTAAAATAACCACCAAAATGTGAATTTTGCCTAAAAAGCTAACTTTAGCTAATAACAGCTGAACATCATCTAAAATTGTAGCAATTAGCTAAATATAGCAGAAAACAACCGTAAGAAGCAGAAATAGCTGAAATTAGCAGAAAGGATCCCAAAAAAGGTAGAAAATAGCTGAAATAGCAGAACAAAGGTAAAATTAGCTAAAAAAAGAAGCTAAAATTAGCACAAGGAAGTTAAAAAGAGCAGAAGCAGAACAAAAGGTGGAAGGTGCTGCAAAGGTTTAGAAACATTTCGAAGGATTTTAAGGAAGTTGAAAACAGCTCCATTCATTTTCAATGGGAAAATAGTGGATGAAAAAGTGAAATAGCTAAAAAACTATAAATAGCTGAAATATCAAAAGTCACAGCCAGAACGTCCCGATGGAGCTGAACGTTTTGATGTATGAATTATTAAAATGGCACAAAGATTATGGGAACAAAATACGTGCCAAAAAACAAACAAATAAAAAAATGATCTTGATAGTGAGAATGCTTGTGAACCGTTCACACAATAAAACAAACAGTGAAGTATTTCCAGCTCACCTGTGCAGGTGCCCTCTACGTCTTGGTACCCGCTGGCACAAGCCTGGCACTTATCAGAACCAGGTCCAGAGCAGCCGGCGCAGGCACTGTCGCAGGCTGTGGAGGACAAACACTTGTAAACAACCATGTCAGCCTGAAACCCACACCTGGAGGGCACGGCTCACCTTTGCAGGAGTACGAGCCTTCAGAGTTCAGGCAGTGTTGGTCTTCTTTGCACACAGGAGGGTCTTTGTTGCACTCGTCCACATCTGCAGATCACAAACCTGTTCTGTGATTGTTCTCTTAGAAAAACACTGAACATGAGAAGACTGACAGAGCCGCTCGTCTTCCTCTCACCAACACAGGCTTCCTGGTCGTCCTCCTCCCAGCCCTCCCTGCACTCGTCGCAGTCCTGGTTTGTCGCTCCGCTGCAGGTTTTGCAGGAAGCATGACACTCTGTGGGAGGAACAGATTTACTCAGAAAATCTCTCCMATCAGTTTGCAGTCTCACTGAACACGTGTTTGCCACCAGCAGGGTCTATTGTCATGGGTTAATTCTGAGCATTAAAGGGCCAATATTATGTGTTTCTCAGGCGTATATTTAAATACTATACCATAAAAAGTATCTTTGTCATCTTTAGCTG